TTAAAGTGTTATTTTGAATTCTTTTTTTCATACTAGGTCTTCCAAATCTGGGGCATATTTTACACATCTCAATATGCACATAGTGCATGTCAATTTGGACCAGTTACGTTTCAAGTGCTCAACAGCCACATATGGCTAATGGCTGTTACTCTGGACAGCACATCCCTAAAAGAGGATAATTCCAAGAGTTATCCTATGAGTGAGGAATGTAGAACAAAATAAGGAAATCAGAAAAGAATAACAGAGAGGAGAAACTGGAAAGGATAGTAGAGAGTTTAAAAGACAGGTAACAAAAAATATTAATTTACCTCTCTGTCCAGGGTAATACTGGTTGTGTATATCTCTCCTGTATCTTTATTTAGGTAGAACACTGGAGGATAAGCTGGTTCCTGAGACACAATTCTATAGGAAATCTTAGAATTCATAGTATTGGGCTCATCTGCGTCTGTTGCATTGATTTTCATCACAAGTGTATCTGGCATTAGAAATAAAGGTGACCAAGATGAAACTCAACTTTAAGTACACCTACATATGTTATTCTTTTATTAATAATTTTAGCTTGCTCCAAAAAAGGATTTCAAGTGCTTATCAAAATCACATGCATTTTCCCGTGATAAAAAATTCAACTAGATGAGGAAGTAAGAGTAAATGGTGTACAGGAGCAGGAAAAACAAGATGAGGGCAAGGCCAAAGTTAGGGTGAAGTCCTGAGAAATTGCTATAGTAGGGCCATAAATTTGTTTATAACAGTACTAGTACCAACACAAAGAAAGAAACATGAGCAGATACACGATCCTGGTATTTAAGATACCAACAAATCAACAGAAGCATAACTATTCTTTATATTATGATTGAAATCTCTCCCTTGAGTCACAACACAGAGTATTGCACTGAACAATGTTGTCAATAACTCTTACAGTAAAAACAATATAAGTCAGAAGTCAGTAAACTACAGTCAGGAGGCCAAAGCCGTCCAGCCACCTGTTCTTGTAAATAAAGTTTTATTAGAACACAGCCAGGCTCATTTGTTTACATACTGTTTATGGCTGCTTTCCTGCTACAGGGCAGAGTTGAACAGTTGCTACAGAGACCTTATCTGTCACATCAATCTACCATATCTATTCTGAGGATAAAAAAGATGGCATGTAAAGTCCTTTGAACTTACAAGAAAAGCAGTTCTGAACCTATAGCAAAAGGCTTATTATTTGTCCTGTGGGTAATACTCAACTTCCATTAAGATGTGGGATTTAGTGTTCATTTACACACACATAAAATGACCTTGGGTGTTTATTCATAAATAAATAATAGACTCTTACGTGCTGCACTCAACTCTTCAACAGACCCAGCAAAGACGTCCTGTGTGAACACCGGCTCATTGTCATTGATATCAAGAACTCTAATGCGTAGCTCTATCGGTTTCTCTAGGTTTTTTCCTTTTTCATCCAAAGCATAACCTACTAACTGAAATCATGACATAAATAATATATAAGATTAGATTTAAGCTTATGTAAATGAATTACCATACTATCAAAAAAATCATAAAACAAATCACACCTATTACCAAAGAAAAACTATAAACTGATAAATATAGAACCACTCTTACCAGAAAAAATGGTGTTTCTTCTCGATCAAGGATGCTGGTAACATTCAATTCTCCGGTGTCTTTATTAAAGACAAATACACCAAAAGGTGGCTCTGTAATCCCTTTTCCAGTGTATCTGTATGTAACTTTTATTCCTCTTTCTTCTGCAATATCAGAGTGTATCTAATATAAAAATAACAGAGGACTGTTTCAGGTTAACCTCTCTATATTTTATTACTCTTGATCTCAGCGAAAAGGCTGAGAAGTGATTCTCTATAATTTACAGGTAAATATTTTTAATGGACAATTTCCCTTGAAGTTGTCAGGATGTTGATGCGGGGAGATAGCTTAGCACAAGGGCTCACAAGCACACGGGTTTTTGTCAGAGAACTTGGGCTTTTATCCTGCCTCAGCCATGCACTAGTTATGTGATACTGAGTCAGTTAATTAACCTTTCTGTGCCTCAGTTTCTTTATCTGTAAAATGGAGAAGATAATGCTACTTACCTCTTAGCGTTGCTGTGAAATTAAGATACAGTTGGGGTACATGTGGGGGAAGGGAGTAGATTTTAAATTTAGTATATAAGGTAAGAAACACAGAGTGAAAATCACCTTCATAAATCCATCCAATGGTCTGGAAAGTATGAATAAGCCTTCTTTCCACAGAAGGATTAAAATAGTCGAGTGCCTTCTCTGCTTTAGTAAATTAATAATGTTTCCAACCTGCTGGGTCTTCTGCAGTTATCCTCTTTATCCTCCATAAACAATTTGACTCATGTCTCTAATTCTTCACTAGTAAATGTTTCTCTGGGTCCCTGTTGGTTCCTCCA